CAATTTACAAAAATAATTATTAAATAGCTATAATGAAGTTCTTACAACCATACATTTTTAAAAACTTGCACCAATATAAAGGTTTTGAAAAGTGGAAGCCACAACAAGATTATTTTTCACTGTCATAACAAATAATTGGCGAAAACTGGTAGTTTTTGAAGCAGTCAAGCTTTTTTCAAGTAGTTTATAAAATAATTTTAAGGATCGGATCACATATAAGTTATCTACAAATCTATATTTTTTACTGGCAGATTTCTAATAAAAAGACTATTTAAAAAAAAAAAAATTTCTAGTAGTTACTCTTGGAATTCTAAGGTTGCTCTGACACAAAAAAGCCTTAGTAATAAACAAATGTTTATTAAATGCTGAGTTGGCCGATTTTGACAAACATATCCCATTCTTTTAAATTCTTCCGAAACGCACAGGTTTTTCCGCGTTTTTGCATATATGCAAATTGCAAAAACGCATATTGGGAAGAGGTAGTGTGCGTGTGTGTGTGTGTGTGTGTGTGTGTGTATGTATGTATATGTGTATTCGCATTTTTTTTCACCCACTTTCAACTCAAGAACCAGAAAAACTAGAAGACTGAAATTTTGGGAGCGTGTGCCGATACAATGGGTGACCCTCGCGTTTTAATATCATCCTCCGCAGACGCCTAGGTGCCGCGTACGGACGTTTTAAAAAAATATAAAAATTTTTTGGCGGGAAAGCGGTCTCGGAAACCAGACAAGACAAGGGGCTGAAACTTTGTAAGGATATTTTTTGTGCATGTGTTAGCTAAAGAATTCAAATTCAGCCCCGAGGTATATGTGGTACTCATGTAGGGGCGTATGAAAACTTTGGTGGGAAAACTGCTAGCTCGGGAACCAGGAAAGCTAGAAAGCTGAAATTTTGGGGGAATGCCCCCTGTTCAAGCATAACTTAAAATCCTCAGATATGCATGGTTTTTACGCAGAACCACGTGAAAGATTTGGCTGGAGAATTAACTCGGCAGCCAGAAAAGCTGGAAGACTGAAATTTTAGGGGGATATTCCCTGTCCACGTGTAATATAAAAATTTCAAACTCAGCTTTCCAGGCACGTGGAGTACCCAAGCACCGGCATGTGAAGGTTTTGGCGCGAAAATCGCCAACTCGGTAACCAGAAAAGCTGGAAAGCTGAAATTTTGAGGGAATGTTCCCTGTCCAAGTGTAACTTAACAACTTCAAATTCAGCCTTGAAGTATGCGTGTTTCTTGCGTACGAGCACTCAGGTTACTTTTAAAGAACGACCGTTAAATGGAAATTCTACATTTACTTTATGCAAAATTTATGGTGGTTTACGCTAGTGAGCGCGAAAGGCAGGTGTAAAGCAATAACCTTTCATGCAGTTTATGACCTGAGTAATTTAAGTCCGGTGAAAAAAACTTATGATCGCACGGGCCCGCTTGGTGCGTTCCAGTCTAGGTTTGCCACGATGTGTCGAGAAGATACAACTTCTCGAGAAGTATGATAAAACCAGTTAAAATCAAAATTAAAAAATTTTGATCTGCACACACATGCTCATGTATACACTTGTATTTACATGGTATATGTGTGCAGAAACAGTGCAAGTGCACTTTCATCCTTGTAGTTGTAAGTGTAGGCGCTAGGAGTATTGGTCAATTGAAGGTGGCTGCTCACAGTGTTCGGCGAGCATAGGACTTCTACCGAGATGCCCATGCCTGAGGGGAGGGGATTGAACTCTCGGATGGTACCGACGTGCTGGCGGTCGTACGAAGCCTTCGGTCGATCTCATTTTTCGAGGATTGACAGTGATGGCGGCTGCATCAGCAACAGCGAACAGGAACAACGATGGCAGAGAATTCACAGAACCCCAATTTTTTACATTTATTGCTGCCACAAATTAGTAATGTATTTTACCGATTTGTTACATATACTCGCATTTAACGCTTCGAGTTCAAACATTCGTTACTTTTTATCAATTGTTAATAAAATTTATGTTATCCAAGTTTGAGTATGAGGATATTTGGACTATCCGATTCGATGAACCATGCTCAGGGATCGGAGGAGCTGACAGACCAAGTTCACCTACAAATTGAAGAAGGACCAACAGAATCCATCTAGTTCAGAACTGAGGCTACGGTTACGGGCAATTTTGCAGGCCCAGAACTTGTATACCTTAGTACAAATTCTTTAAAATATATAACTTGCGATGCTATCGTAGCCAGTGAACAAAAAAAAATCCACAACAAGGTGCAGTTGTCCTGAAGTCAGCAGACTGAATACCTAGTACAAAACTTTCTGTTATTACTTATTTAATAGGTGCTTGAAAAGTTTTTTAAACTTATTTTTAGTAAAAACTTACCCGGATCACGAATCAAATGCATGCACAGAAGCAAACGCCTTCGTGCAGCCTCATTCAGTTCTCGAATGAGTACGTCATTGTAAGGCACAAGATCAAATTCTCGAACAAAAGAGGCTGCCTGAAACTTTTCGTCATCACTTTTTTACTATGAACAATCTTGATTTTTTTTTAGCACAGCGCTGTGACGGTATGGCACGATAATAGTGCCGGATGAAATGCAGTTACAACTGACGAAACAGTCTGATTCAAACTCACTCTTTCCTCCTTCTGACGATCGCTGAGGCCGCAGAGTGTGAGGTCGGCTTGAAATCTGAGAGCAGCACGAACACTGAGTACATCAATCAGCGGCTGACTGAAATCGACGAACGCACAAGCGGAATCGAACAAGTCTTCTAAAACCGCGAAATACTCAGATGTGAATGAACACCTCCAAATCTGGCCGGAAAACAGTTTCATTCCTCAGAGCTGCATGGCAGAGTCCCTACTAGTCTGCAGTAAACCCAACAAAACTGCGCACCAGTGCTGACTGTACGGTCATACGTTTTAGCAACCTGAAATTTATAGTATCTGAATAAGAAATGTTAGCGAGCCTGAAAGATGCCGTTACTTTTCCCGCACCCAACAGATTCAGACAGAATCCTCAAAAATTTTAGATTTCTTGCTTGTATGATTGCCAGAAGAATATTAAGACAGTAACGTTGTAATTTGAACATTTGATGCGTCCGTACACAAAAACATGCGTAAGCTAAAGCTTACTTCAAGCTTGCTGACCAGGATTTGGCGCCTTGGCGTACAAGAACGTTATTTTCGAAACGAGAGGGATATGCTCCGAAAATTTCAGCTCATTGGCTTGTTTGGTTGCTAAGTTGAAAGTGGGTGACAAAATGTGAACACACACGTACAAAGAAATACACAAATACACAAGCTTTTGGCAATATTCATTCCTGCATTTGCATAAATATGCAGAAAAGGATAAAAACCCATGCTGGAACGCACCAGGCTCTCCAGTTCGATCATGCGTTTTTGCACTAAACTCGCAGATCATTATTAGCAAGAATGATCCCTACACAATAGTCTAACACTTGGCCTCATACTGGCCGTGCTTTGACCCCTTTCGGTATGCAGAAGGAAGGGCACAAGTTGGGATGAAGGTGGTGCATTATACAGCCGCAGGGACATCCAGTGCATGATCACCCGCTTTTGCATGAA